TGTATGCTGTGTGTGTGTACTGTGCTCTGTGTACTGTAGAGGTGTAACGGTGTGTGTGTGCTGTGTGTGTGTACTGTGTGTGCTGTGTGTGTACTGTGCTCTGTGTACTGTAGAGGTGTCACGGTGTGTGTGCTGTGTGTGTACTGTGCTCTGTGTACTGTAGAGGTGTCACGGTGTGTGTGTGCTGTGTGTGTACTGTAGAGGTGTCACGGTGTGTGCTGTGTGTGCACTGTGCTCTGTGTGTACTGTAGAGGTGTCACTGTGTGTGTGTACTGTGCTCTGTGTACTGTAGAGGTGTCACGGTGTGTGTGTGTGCTGTATGTGTGTACTCTGTGTGTACTGTAGAGGTGTCACAGTGTGTGTGTGTGCTGTGTGTGTGTACTGTGTGTGTGCTGTGTGTGTGTACTGTGCTCTGTGTGTACTGTAGAGGTGTCACAGTGTGTGTTCTGTGTACTGTAGAGGTGTCACGGTGTGTGTGTGTGCTGTGTGTGTGTACTGTAGAGGTGTCACGGTGTGTGTGTGTGTGCTGTGTGTGTGTACTGTGCTCTGTGTGTACTGTAGAGGTGACACTGTGTGTGTGCTGTGTGTGTACTGTAGAGGTGGCACGGTGTGTGTGTGCTGTGTGTGTGTGTGTGCTCTGTGTGTACTGTAGAGGTGTCACTGTGTGTGTGTGTGCTGTGTGTGTGTGCTCTGTGTGTACTGTAGAGGTGTCACTGTGTGTGTGCTGTGTGTGTACTGTGCTCCGTGTGTACTGCAGAGGTGTCACGGTGTGTGTGCTGTGTGTGTGTGCTGTAGAGATGTCACTCTGTGTGTGCTGTGTGTGTGTATTGTAGAGATGTCACGGTGTGTGTGTACTGTGTGTGTACTGTAGAGGTGTCACTGTGTGTGTATGCTGTGTGTGTGTACTGTAGAGGTGGCACGGTGTGTGTACTGTGTGTGTACTGTGTGTGTGTGTGTACTGTAGAGGTGTCACTGTGTGTGTGCTGTGTGTGTACTGTAGAGGTGTCACTGTGTGTGTACTGTGTGTGTACTGTAGAGGTGTCACTGTGTGTACTGTAGAGGTGTCACTCTGTGTGTGTACTGTAGAGGTGGTACGGTGTGTGTACTGTGTGTGTACTGTAGAGGTGTCACTGTGTGTGTGCTGTGTGTGCTGTATGTGTGTACTGTAGCGGTGTCACTGTGTGTGTGCTGTGTGTGTGTACTGTGCTCTGTGTGTACTGTAGAGGTGTCACTGTGTGTGTGTGCTGTGTGTGTGTACTGTAGAGGTGTCACGGTGTGTGCCGTGTGTGTGTATGCTGTGTGTGTGTGCTGTGTGGACTGTAGAGGTGTCACTGTGTGTGTGCTGTAGAGGTGTCACGGTGTGTGTGTGTGCTGTGTGTGTACTGTGCTCTGTGTGTACTGTAGAGGTGTCACGGTGTGTGTGTGCTGTGTGTGCGTGTGTACTGTAGATGTGTCACTGTGTGTGTGTGTGTGCTGTGTGGATTGTAGAGGTGTCACTGTGTGTGTGGGCTGTGTGTACTGTAGAGGTGTCACTGTGTGTGTGTGTGTGCTGTGTGTGTGCTCTGTGTACTGTAGATGTGTCACGGTGTGTGTGTGCTGTGTGTACTGTAGAGGTGTCATGGTGTGTGTGTGTACTGTAGAGGTGTCACGGTGTGTGTGCTGTGTGTACTGTAGAGGTGTCATTGTGTGTGTGTGTGCTGTGTGTACTGTAGAGGTGTCACGGTGTGTGTGTGTGCTATGTGTACTGTAGAGGTGTCAAGGTGTGTGTGCTGTGTGTACTGTATAGGTGTCATTGTGTGTGTGTACTGTGCTCTGTGTGTGCTGTGGGTGTGTGCTGTGCTCTGTGTGTACTGTAGAGGTGTCACTGTGTGTGTGTGCTGTGTGTGTGCTGTAGAGGTGTCACTGTGTGTGTGTGGTGTGTGTGTGCTGTAGAGGTGTCACTGTGTGTGTGCTGTGTGTGTGTACTGTGCTCTGGGTGTACTGTAAGAGGTGTCACTGTCTGTGCTGTGTGTGTGCTGTAGAGGTGTCACGGTGTGTGTGTGTACTATGTGTATACATTGTTCTATTTTGAAGTGTTACGGTGTGTGTACTGTAGAGGTGTCACTGTGTCGGTACTGTGTGTACTGTAGTGTCATTGTGTGTGGGTGCTGTGCGTGTGTGTGCGGTGTGTGTACTGTAGAGGTGTCACGGTGTGTGTGTGTTTATACTGTGTGTGTGTACTGTGTGTGTACTGTGCATGCATGTGTCATTACTTGTATGTCATGAGAACTAGAATGTACATTATCTAGAGAATCCTCACTGAGTCTCAAGTCCACTATCTCTCTGGCCTATCTCGCTCTATGTTCCATTAACAAGGGACATTAACCGAAACGTCGCCTATTATATATTATTTCCCCTTTGAAGGCCACAACATTATTGACGAATGTGTTCATTTGTGTTGGGGTTATTAGTGTTTGTGCACCACCGCCAACGCAGCATCACCAAATAAGTTGTTTAATGCTGAGTCTCAAATCTCTTTTTATTTTTGCAGGGTCCTGCCATGGGATGTTTGGGCGAGTCCATGTAACGTGTCTGTGCTCATGGATACGTTGATAATGTATCGATTCGTAGCGTTTATACATGCTGTGCCGTTCACTTGAACCCTGCAGCCGCTACGTTGATCACAATGTTATAGTTTAAAATATATAATAAGTAATATTTTTAAAAACTTTTTTTAAACGCTTTTATTAAATGTACCCTTAGTAATAGAACTCCATGACTCCATGAAGTGGACCCGAAGTTTGCCACAACGTAAGGGGACCGTGGGCAATTAGACCCAAGCCGAAACATAACATATACAAAATAATATTTAAAAATAAATATATTTTTAATGATAGAATATAATATTGTTATCAGTATGACATAAGTATACCAAGTTTGCAGTCGATACCACATTGGGAAGTGGGTTAAAATGAGTTACAAGATTTGAGAATACAACAACAGACAGTGAGTTAAATGAAAGCGTGTAATAATATTAATAAAAGCATCGATACTTGACATCGAATCATGGACCCTGAATCACGACAATACATCCAGACGCTGCGAATGGATCATTCAAATTGACGTATACAGTGCCGGATTAAGCTAGTGCGGGACCTGTAGCTTATGTGAAAAAGGGGCCCTACATTACAAAAAAAACAAATATTAAAACACAAATGTTTATCTTGCATAGTAAAGTAATTGTATTTTTTCATTTGCTCTAGAGCCAGATAATACGACAAATCGCTCACCTTAAACACCCAGTCGTTCATAAAAGGCGGTATAGTACTATAGTAATAGAGCAAGTGCAGAATCACTTAACCCTAATTGACAGCTTGAAAGCATTTAGCGCGGGGGGGGGGGCCTTTAAAGTGCGGGGTCCGTAGCTACGACATGTGTAGCTACTTTTGCTGCTGGCTGTATCTATCTCTCTATCTCTTTCTCTCTAGGGGAACAACGCTGCGATGCGTGGGCCACACAGCTCGTGGTCGATTGAGAGGGCCACCACACTCGCCTTCTACCCACATTGGCGTCACACTGCACAGGAGGCCGATTGCTTTGGTTCACAGATAATAATGATAATAATAATAAAGGTCGGAATATGCACGCGTCGAGTACTGTGCTCGAGACTTAGCAACTCATGTCCCAAGCCTGAGCCTGCTATTTTATATATCAGTCGCGCCAAACAACATCCAGAGTTGTCATTTGCACGTTGATGGTTGTAAAGCAAAGACTCTACGATATTCATCTCGTACGTCAGACTTGTAGCCCTTCTAGTCTCATTCGTCTGTCTTTCCGGCCCTTAATAGGTGACAAGTCATCTTGTAGTTGAATGCTCGTGTGTTGTATACGCGAAGTGGTGGGTGACCAGTGGCGATGTTTACACACCGCACCAGGTACTCATTTGAGGCTGAGTCGACCTAGGGGATTCCCAGGACCGTTTCAGATAATCGTCACTGGTATCGGCCGTGAGCGGGAATCGAACTCGGGTGGCCGGGTTCGTAGCGCTAACCACTACACCACCGCTCCCCACACTCTTGTACTAACACACATACACTCTCGTACTAACACATATACACACTAGTACTAACACACATACACACTCGTACTAACACACGTATACTAACACACACACTCTCGTACTAACACACACACACTCTCGTACTAACACACACACTCTCGTACTAACACACATACACACTCGTACTAACACACACACTCTCGTACTAACACACATACACTCTCGTACTAACACATACACACTCTCGTACTAACACACACACACACTCTCTCGTACTAACACACACACACTCTCTCGTACTAACACACACACTCTCTCGTACTAACACACACACACTCTCGTACTAACACACACACACTCTCGTACTAACAAGCACCCTCTCTCATACACCCCCCTTTCACAAACACTTCCTATTACAACCTCTGTCACTCACACACTCTCACAAAGGCAAAGATCCCCCATATAGCCTTAACAGACTGTAGGGGCAAGTGCTGTTAGCGAGCACCTATGAAGGCCGGAACGGTACACGAGGGGGTGGGTGGCCAGCACCACGCCCGACCGCCTTTGTCTCCCTAGTGGCAATGTTTACACACCGCACCAGGTACTCATTTGAGGCTGAGTCGACCTAGGTGAGTCCCGGGACCGGTGCAGATAATCGTCACTGGTGTTGGCCGTGAGCGGGAATCGCACGCGGGTCGCCAGGTTCATTACGCAGCGCGCTAACCGCTACACTACCGCTCCCCACTACACACACACACTAACACATACACACAACACTCTCTCACACACACACACTAACATACACACACCCTGTCGCATCTTCGATTATTCACACTCGCCCACCCGATCACAACCTCCATACACCGCACACGTACACTCACACTCTCTCACACACACCAGCACAACACACACCACTCATCACATCATCTTTCATTTACTCTCTCTCACTCACATCAACATACACACACCACCCTCTTCTTACGCTCACACGCGAAAACTACAACCCCCCCCCCCAACGCCCTCCCTCCTCCCCTTCCATCACCGCCCGAAGGCACGCGGGACCGACCCCCTTTCCCCTAATCTCGCTGACCGTAAGCTCCAACGAAACCTTTTACATTAAACACGGCGTGAAATACCAACGGGACGAGTAAACAACACGCGCGGAGACAACGACTTTAAAATTTAAATCCCACCCACCCACAAACAAACAAGTGCACACACACACGCACACACACCAGCTCATCCCGCTGGAACTCGCGCTGTGTGGAGTCGAAGCCCGCCTGGCGTGTAGGTATGTGCCGTGTGACATGTCCCGACTTAAATAATGCGTTTTGTGGACGCATGTTAACTCGTCTCGACGACTGCCTCGGACAGTTGTGAGTACAGTGATCGTTTCATCTACAAAACGGGACATTTTTTTTTTTGCCAGTATCAACGTATTTTTTTATTTTTTATTTCAAACTCATTTAATTTGCGTGTCGGTGTTGTTGAAGCTGCGTTGATCTCTGTTCGTTCGGCGAGGCCTTATCTCACTCAGTGAGAGATTCGGATTATTCCTGGAATTGTGTTTCCATTCGATGTACAACCCTCGTCTCCTCTGATTCAAAACCCTTGTTCCATCCGATGCAGCACACGCTTGTTTATCCAATTCAAATCCCTCGTATTATTCCGTCTCACCCTATGCAGAATTCGTGTCTAAATTAAAACTCTCGTTTGGTCTGACACAGAAAGCACTCTCGTTCCATCTAATTCAGAACCGTCGTCTAATCCTAGACAGAATCCACGCTTCATCTGTTATGGAACCTTAGTCTCATACGGAACCCTCGGCTTATCTACAACTCAAAACAATTGGATCGTCTCATGTAATTCGATGCAGAATCCGTGTCTAAATCAGCAGCCTTGTTTCATGCGATAGGGAGCTCGTGTCTCATCCGATTCGGAACGCTTGTTTTATGCAATTCAGAGGCCTTGGCTCATCTCTTGTCTGATACAGAACCATAATCTGTGGGTCTTTCACGTAGATAGGTTCAAAAAGAATAACACAGAACCCTTGTTTCGCCAGAGACGTAACTTTTGTGTCTAGTTTTATAAAGAGTCGGTGTATCTGCGATGAGTATTGCACGTGTACAGTCTCTCAATCCACTGCTGGATGAGTCTCCCCGCGCCGTAGCGGTCGTTTGGGGGTTTTTTCCCACCATACATCACCACCGTGGTCAGTGCGAGTTAGAAGCCCTTTGGACGTGGGGGGCATAGAAATAAAATACAACGGATGTTTCTGCCTGCATCTCTGCTGCCCTGCTTTGCTTGCGAACCCTGAAGAGATCTGGAGAATTCCGAGTGATTTGGGTATACGGTGATCGTTATCGATCATTCGATCTAACTACGATTGCATTCGCTGAAAGGTGATGGTTGAATAATCGATGCTGATGTGACGATCACGGTACAATTGAGCGTGAGGTTTATACTGTAGTCGAGAACGTGTTGATGATGATGCTGCGAGTGCCTCTTGTCTCGTGATTTGTTTTCCCCATTGGTAAGAAATCGATAACTGCCATTTATTTAATCGCCGTTAGAAACCCAACATAATCGATTTTCTCGAAAATATTGTTATTATCCACAGTATAACCTCTATACATTGAACACTACAGAGTTAGAAGGACGTCATTTGTTACGCATAGTTTCCCTCCACTGTCAGAGGGAATGATTCAGAGGCGTTAGGAACCACACAATTCGCAATTCATCCGCCATCGGCGCTACCAACAAACTGCCCTATCTCTCAACCCTCTTCCAATTCCATGCCACACTGTGGAGCTTTGTGTTGTGCCCTTCAGCCAGCAGTCGCTTGGTTTTCGGCTGATGGGAGTTGTTCGCCGCCGCCACGGACGGACGGACGGCCTCGGTTCCGTCATGGAAATGTGTAATTTCCACAGTAGTGCGTGTGTCGCCCTCCACGATCACCGCCTGTGCAACTCCAGCCCCCCCTGCCCGCCACCGCCTCCCCCAGGTCTCGGCACGGCGACTAGAACCGCCGACGCGTGAGCCTCGGGTTTATTACCCATCCAGGGGGGCACCCGGCTCAGCCAATTAACTAAGAGGGGGGGAGGGGAGTTGAGTGTGTTGCGTGTGTCAGTCAAGTCAGTGAGTGCGTGTCTGTGTGTTTTAATTGGTAAAGGGGAGCAGTATTGCAGTGGTTAAAGCGTCGCGCTACCAACCCGGCGACCCGAAGTTCGATTCCCGTTCACGGTCAACATCAGTGACGATCATTGTCTGCTCCGATTGCGAGGCGCTGCGCCCCTGGCTGGCTTGGCCAGCAAAGCCCGTGAACAAATCAGTCTGAATGCAGCCAACCCGTCTCAGTCAGTCTCGGAAGCCAAGCAGGATACGGTAATATAACAGTGAATTATTTAATCTATCCGTGTGGAGTGTTGAGTGTTACGCTAACGTACGGTACAGTATTGTGTGGGGTTTCTCTTGCTATTTCACTTAACTCCCACGTGCCAAACCCTCATGAATGGAATCGGCCAAACAGCCTTGAGACTCTGTAGTGGGACTTTCCTGCGTTAATAGTTAAGGGTATTACTTTGCAGGAATCTTATATTTGCGGGATTGTTTTGTGTATGATTTGGGCTACGACTCATAATAGTTAAGGGTATTACTCTGCAGGAATCTTATATTTGCGGGATTGTTTTGTGTATGATTTGGGCTACGACTCAGATGATGACACAATAGCCAACGCTTACATGACCGTAATTTTACATGACTACCCATATCTCAAAGAGAGGGTTCTTGCCTATAACATCTGACAGTTCCAGCAATGGTTCAAGCAAGCCAGACGCTCCTGGTGAGACTGTTAAAACGGGTCCAGAGTTTGCGTACATTGAATGAATGCCGTTAAAATTATGCACTCCAGGCTATAATGCAGTGGGTTTTGTAAAAAAAAACGTGTATTTGTGAAGGAGAAATGGTCTGCTTCGCTACCTTGTTATTGTTACATGGGTGTGAGAAAATAAAGTGGATGTGGCGGGGCGGAGCTGCCCCCCCCCCCAACACTGAGATCATCTCGAGTTTCATTCGAATCGGCAATTTTCGCAGTGTTAATTGATTAGCGCGTCACGTGGGAACTATTTCACAATGATCGGGCGCGTGCAGCGTGGAAGGACTTAATTCGTATTTGAGTAAATTGGGTGGCGCTGACTGGAGGAGTTTGGAAAAGCCCGCCCCAGCTACGCGTTACATTTTAAAAATCTGATTACTCATCGCGCCTCGGTCCGTCTAACCCGATGTTTTCTCTCTCTCTCTCGCTCTCTGGAAACCACAATATTTTCCGAAGTCCGGCTGGCCAAATGGTTGAGATGTTTCTTACCTCTTCGTGAAAGATTTTCAACAACAACACATTTCGCAGTTATATTGTGTGTACATTTACAGAAGCGGAAACTTTAAATTTTACGTTGGCCTTTAAATTTAATGGGAGGGGCAAACCGCGCACAGAACGCTTTTATTTACAATAAAACACAAATTTTGATTTAAAGCTTTCGTGACTGCAATAATTCATATTCTTACCTCTTTCAGTAAAGTCACGTTGAAGGGAAAAAGCTAAGAATATGAAATAAAACACAACTTCAAAAAAACATTGATTGAATGCACGTAAATTCACGTGACATGTGAAATGTAGGTGAAAAAAATGTCAAGTATCAGGCTGGCATACTTGATACAGAATAGTGTACGGTGTTAGAATCTATTATAAAAGGGCAACGTTTCGTTTGTCCAACTAAATTATAAGAGCCTTTCAGAAGGACTGAATCAAACAGTTATATCGAACGTGGACCCCCCCTAGATTTTGGGGTAAAAAGTTGATCCTACAGATTTATAAAAATTGTCAACCCCCCCAAAATACATTTATTTTGTAGGCAGTATCCGCACACGGGGATGGGGGGGGGGATAAGAGGACATCAGTGGAGGCGACGAGCTAGAATAAGGCGACGCACCTCCGATTAGTACGGTTGGCTATACGTACGGTGCGAAATAAGTTCATACATACAAACCAAATCGAGCCATTTCTATCCCTGAAAAAGTTTAATGATCACAAAAGTACTTTTATATATAAAAAAAGACTAGCAGCCAGCCAGTTTAAAAAAATATATATTATATGGGAGTGCTGCATTAACATACGTACACACATTACTAAGAGCACGCCTCTGGCCGCGCGATAGCATGGTGTTCCCGACAGCTGTGTGTGAGAGGCTGGTTAGGAATTAGTGACATCCCACGCTGTCGGTCTTCTCCTTGCTTCACCGCATGGAACCCACAACCCTCGTCGCCACCTCTTCCGCCTTCACCCGCCCGGCGCGTGACTCGATGACGATGGGGGGGGGGACTCAGAGCGGCGACTCGATTACTTCATGCCACTGACGTGAATATTTGCTTTATAGATAGCAACGCGCACGTCCTTTTGGACGTGACGGTCCATCCGTCCATCCATCAGGCCTTGCCTCCTGTTAACCAGTCATGCAGCCAGCCAGAAAAAAAAACCTTTTTTATGCATAGTTTATTATATTGATTTCATTGGCCCTTTCTCACTTGCTCACACTTGGCAAATGTGAAGGAGCAGTGGAGGAAGTCGAGTTTTGGAGATGCAGAAGGTAGATTGCAACGCTGAAAATTGATTTTTTTCGCGTTTCCAGCGTCATTGGCGATTAGAGCAGAGGATAAGAGAATAAGAGGTGGAAAGGAGAAATGTGTGAGGTGGTGTCTGAGAGCTGCAGTGAAATGGTGATGGATTTGGTGTTGGATTTCACAAGGTTGGGATTATTGGGTTTAAGTGGGAGATAATATTAGTTGGGATAGATCCATTGATTCCAAGAGTGACTGGGTAATGATGGGATTGTATTGATTACCAACATGGATTGTAAAATGATCAGTAACGATGAGTGGAGGGGAGATACTTAACGTCAAAGTTTGGGTTTGGCATTGATTGATGTTAGTCGAAATTTTGAGGTTGTAGATGGGTGGCAAGTGAAGAGAGAGATGCTCCCGAAGATGATTTATTTTTGGTCGAGAATTTAAAGTCAGGTTTGGAGATGACAGAAATTCTACCACAAGGTCCAGAACTCGTGTACAGTTCACGTTTTTGTGTTGTCGTTGAAACTGTTTAATTTGCCGGCCTGCACTCGTGATTCTGATTTGAAGGGGTTTCTTGCCATTTACAGATGTTGATCAATCAACCAACCCAGTCAGAAAAGGGAGCAAGCTTCTTGAGGTGGCAGCCAGAGGATTACATCGTAAAAGAGTGAATAGATTGCAGGGAATGTGTGTCAAGTCTCGGTGAGACAGAGGATGTCACTAGTGCCCTAATGTAGGACATTGTGGATGCGAAGTGATCCTTCACCAAGTGGATGTTTAGCAGTGAGAATTGAGCATGAAGTGGATGCTCTATCTGCAGTGGAAGGCTTTGTGGTGAGGCATTGTTGATACCTTGGGGCCAGTGAGGCGCCTTGCGATGGCGGTTGATATGGGGAATAAGGTAGGAAGCTTGGAGTAGTGGACATGCTTGGTGAGGGGAAGTAGAAGGGGAGTATGTAATGGTACAATAGTGTGGGTGAGTGAGAGTATCGGAGGATGTTAACATTTTAGTACAGTTGTGGAGTAGGAGTACTGCATGGTGTTTCCATGGTAGTGTGTTGTGGGGTGAGAGTACTGGGTGGTGTTGTCATGGTTGGAATATAATGAGAATCAGAATATTTTGTATACTGGAGGAATCCGATGAGCTATAAAGCTCTTTTTCACATGTCCAGTAGGGACGGGTCAGAACGTTACAACAAATAATACAACACGATAGGAGTGCAAAGTATAGGAAAGGTAAGCAAGTCACTAAAAACATACAAATAAAACGAAACTCATTTTATTTTAACCAGGTAAAAGTCCACTGAGCTTTAAGCTTCTATTTCTAAGCGACCTGACCACAAATGATAGCTCAACGAAGTGGCTTATCACGTGGGAACTTTTAGCAGCCAAATCATCTAAAGAACCTAAAGCATGTTTCTATGGAGATAAGATGTGAACATTTCTAGGACAGAGCAGAAGTAGGGACTGGACCAACAAGGCTACGACTGCATTTGAAAGCAACGAGGATGGCTTCTGAGTAGGTTATGGCAAGAGTTGAAGAAGCGAGGAATGTCACAGTCAGGTGTACATTTGTATCCTCGCAGTGGCTTTTGGCTCACCATCGAACAAAAAACGTTCTCTGCATCGCGCGCTTTCAGATGCGCTTCTGCAGCCGTCTGTAACGCTCTTCCTTTCCGATATTAGGAAGCAACTGGAGATGTGCACTTTTAAATCTGGATTGAAAACCCATTTCTTTAGAACTGCTTTTTGTGTTCAGTTTGTTGTCTTTCCCCCGCGCTTCCGATTAGCACGGTTGCCTGCGCGTGCTGGAAAAGAAGTTTCAGCATACATAGAATTTGACAATGAACCATCGATGTAAATGATATAAAGATGCACAACAGATGTGCAGAGTGACGACAACACCGTGTGCTTGGCTGCCAACGCACCAGGCAGCCAGAAAAAACGTAGTTTTTCAAATAATATTATACAACTATTTTTTGTTATTAAGCAAATTATAGGTGTAGCAAGAACCACCTTCCATGACATTTCCATGTACACCATTATAGTTGGAATGTACCGTGACAAAATAATAACCTTAATGAGGGGTGCCTGAAACCCAGATTCAAACTCGAGTTCCCAGCCGTGCCACCTCCACGCTGTGACCTGGTACTTTCATAGAAAATCACAAGCAGAAAGGGGTGTTTAATGTCCACAGACAACAAACTCGATGCTTTGTTCAATAAACCTCCTGCTCAATAATGAATGACTGGGCGGCAGTACCTGGAGTCCAATCGGGAAATTCCTGGTGAATGGCTTAATGTGCTGAGAGTGCATTCACAACTACATATGTTGAACATATTTAGACCTTAATGGACAAATGCTCATCTCTAACGTTTCCATAAATGATAGCAATTAGCATAAATTTTTAATTCAGACGACCTAAATGGGAAAATGTATCGGCGCGTCAAGACAACCAGCAAGTGGTGGGTTGAGAATTGATGATGGTGTTGGTGGAGTTATTGGAGACAACGCTATTTGCATCAATGATGATACTGTTGATGATAGTGATGATGTTGATGAAAATAATGTTTGACGTTCATGATGGAGTAAAACATTTTAATTGCACTTATGACAATATGATTTGAAGCTTTCGTGACTGCAGGAATCCATACTCTTTGGTTCTTTCGGTAAAATCACGTAGGTAGAAAAGAAATCAAATAAAACAAAAAAATATATCACGTGAAAAAACAATCCAGCATTCCACAGCAGTTCCACTGCTGGATTATTTTTTCCACCTGAGGACGACCGCTTGTGTTGCGATCGAAACGTCGTGAAATATTGTGTTTTGTTTTATTTTATTTTATTCTTTTTCTACCTACGTGACTTTACCGAAAGAACCAAAGAGTATGACAATATGGTTAGTCATGGTGATAGCGATGATGTTTGTAACGATGATGCTGACGATAATGACAATTACAATAGCATCGTTAAAAATGACAATCATTATTACATTCATGATCCCTGATATTTTTCCAAAAAATGAATTTTTATGATATTTTGGATGATGATGATGTGATAGCTGGGCTGAATTTGAAAATGGTGGTAGTGCCGGAGATGATGATGATGATGTTGGTGATGTTTATATTGGTTAACTTTTTTCGCACCGTACATAGCCAAAGGGAATGATATTGCTTTTGGCGATTGTGGTAACAGTGGGGATACTAATGTTGGTGATGGTGGTGATAGTGTAGTGGTGAGCGTGCTGTGCTGCAAACCGAGTTCAATTACCGCTCACCGCCAATACCAAGAATAATTATCTGAACCGGTTGTCGGGCCTCCCTGGGTCGCCTGAACCTCAAATGAGTGTGTAAATATCGCCACTAGGGAGAAAAAGACCTTTCGTGTACCGTGCCGGCCTTCATTGGTGCTAGCTAACAGCACTTGTCCCTATAGTCTGCTAAGGCTACAGAGGGGATCTTTGTCTCTGATGGTCGCGTGAAGGCCCTGTGGGATGAGGGCCCGCCTCTCCCGGCGGCACACAGCCGCGCGGGTCTTTGGGGTGGAGTTGGTCTCCCTGCTGCAGTCCGGGGAAGATCAGGGTGAGACAACAACACTGCGGCAACCAACAACTCAACCACTACCAATAACAGTAGCATAGCCAACATCTTAATTACAACCAACAACCCAGCCAACGCCAACAATAACTCAAACGCAAACACCAACCACAACCAATAACTCAGCCACAGCCAACAACAACTCAACCACAACCCAAAACACCAACGATGGAAAAAGCGCCTACTGGCAGTTACCACCGAAGCATAAACAAAATAACCACCATCAACAGCAGCACCGTCCACACAAGTATAGCCATCTTCACAGCAACATCAATATAAGCTATCAGCACAACCATCAACAATAGCACGGTTAATACCATCACCAATGTCTTATACAATACCACCAGACGTGCAGCACCATCATCATCATCACCATTATCAGAGCACCATCATGTCCACCCCCTCTTGTTAAGGGCCTGTTTGATACACTATGATCATTATTTGTAAATTGTCGCCAAATAATGTTACCAGAAACACGCATTTTACTGCGAGCAGCTATAGCGTCTGGCATAGAGTGACAAACCTGTCTAGCCAATGGAAACAGAGTTTGTTGAAAACTGTGTTTAAAATAAAACAAATATTTGGCTACTTTGCACACAAACTCGGGTGCTCATGGTGACCATTGCACTCCCGCTGGGAGTTACCGGTCTAGTTCCCCACCAGGGGGAGCAGCGACCAAATGTCTGACAAACTAAATAAACAAACGGCAGTTGTCGGTGACAATTTGCTGGTGACAACTGCGCGTCCTCTACGCTTCCAATCTCTACTGCCCCTCTCTGTGCCTACCTCGCGCTATGACCAGTCATGCTTTCGTTCCTTTTCTCTCCTTCCCTTCACTGAAACTAACTCCCACTGCACATAAAACAATCATTCTTCACCAACCTGCTTCCATTCCTCTTTTCAAAACTCATCCCTTCACCCTAACCCATCGTGCTGTTACTCCCTGCCCTTGCCCTCCAGCTACGATCAGGCCTACCACAACCCCTCCTTAACCATTCCCACCCGTCCTCCGAACGGTTACCACAACTACACCACCACTTTTCATCACCCCACTCTTTATTCCCACCACCATTATCTTACGTACAATTTTATATTTGTTGCGATGACAATTTCCCTGAGCACATGATGACCTTTGGGGCCCAAAACCAAAGTTGACCCCTACTCCGACCCCCTCGCAGTGCCGCAGGTGGTCCGCATGTGCACGGCGTTTGTGGAGAGGCACGGCCTAGTGGATGGCATCTACCGCCTGTCGGGCGTAGCCAGCAACACCAAGCGTCTGAGGTAAGCTGCGACGGGCCTCTACAAAAGCCAGCTCTCGGTGCGATTTGATATCCATTTGTCTCTTTAGGAATACGGTTGATAGTATGTGCAGTGCGTATGTGGTCAATGGTGGAAGGAAAAAAAACATTTTTCTGTAACCGTTTTGCCCACTCACATGGTTGTTAGTCGACCTCTAGAATGTTCAACATTGATTTCTTAATCACCTTTCTGAATATTTTATGTCATTTATAAATATTCAACCCTCTTGCAGTTGGACTCGAGTAAGCTGGAACTTGGGGTAAGCTGGAAAAATCTACGGATATGATCAAGTGTAAGGCAACTTTTAGATGTATGTATTTCTAATAAAGGGAAGGACACTGGAGGACATGGTGATGCTGCCTATTATCAGAGTGCATGAGCAATACAATCGAAAGTATAACACCTGCAGCTAAACCAGTACTGCAGAGGAAACGCCGGTAGCAATGCATTGCTGTGATTGGCCCACTGCGCATGTGCAGAACTGAGCACGTGATTTAAATTTTACACCAGGGATGAGTAAGCATTGTAATGGCCCCACATACACAGAGGAATGGCTTTAAATAATAACGGAGCCCTGTGATTGGTTCAGAGAGCATGTGGAATTAACGTTCCATAACTTTGCTGGGAAGCAACAGCAGGTGATTGGCTGGCCTGGGAAGGATCGAAGTCCTGTGAGGAACTTGCACACAAGGAGGGGCGACGGTCCTTGAGGAATGAAAGCTGGGCACGAGCGAGACCTCGGGACTTGAGAAGATGGTGCGACTGCAGGAGGCTAGAACAGCAGCGCGCTCAGCTAGGGGATGGAGCGCCGAGACCACAGCAAGTTCGGCTAGCAGCAGAATGGTGAACAAGGACCGTTTTTGCCAGTATCAAGATGATGAAAAAATAAAAGGTTTTACCCTTTCCGGCAATAATACAGCAAGTGTTAAGGTGTTTCCACACCAGGTGTACACCTATTGCGAGGAATCACCTACCATTGACCACTCATGCTTGTGGTAAAACATGAAAACAAACATGTTTTTGATCCATACTCTTTGGTTTATTCGGTAAAGTCACCTACGTGACTTTACCGAATAGAACCAAAGAGTATGGATCCTTGCAGTCACGAAAGCTTCAAATCTAGAAATGTTTTTGATCATGTATGCATTGTCATTGACACTGATTTGGCCTACAACAGAGAAAGCCTCCTTTATGTTCCTTGTCTCACGAGTGTTCGAGCAGTGTGTTTATGTTAATCATGGTGGTGGTGGTGATGCAGGGAGGAGTTTGATGCCGGCCGCGTGCCGGACCTGACCCGGAGTGTGTACATGCGCGACGTGCACTGCGTGAGCTCCCTCTGTAAGCAGTTCTTCCGCGACCTGCCCGAGCCCCTGCTCACCTACCACCTCTTCCACCTCTTCGATGTACGTATGTGCGTGTGTGCCCGTGCATGGTAGTAGCAGTAGTAGTAAACATCAGGTATGCGACAGCGCGTGTCTTCATCCCATCACACGTGTTCAGATGTATTACTTGTTATTTGGGTCATGTGACCTCTGCAGCCTCGGGAAGACCCCTGCCAACTTCCATCCGATCTCAAATCTTTATTTTCTTGAAAAAGGCCCGAGAAAGGTGTACCTCTCCATCACCTCTTCCCCTTGGTCTCGGGGATCCAGCACAATTTGGGTTCCCCGAGGACAATTGTACCGACCCTACCTCCTGTGAGTGACCTTCCTCTGCCTCTAGACCGTGGATCCCTCTCACTCCTTGTCGTCCTAGATCTCTCTGCTGATTTTGACACCAAAGACCTTTCCAACCCGTTTAACCAATTGGGCATCTCCAGTACACTTCTTTCCAACTTCTGCCTTTATTTTTCAAACTGCTTGTTCTACGATTTCGCACAAGGACCGTCTTCTTCCCAGAAGCCCCTGTGCTAGCTATGGTGTCCCACAAGGCCCCGCCCTCGCCCCCTGATCTTCGTAATGTATCTCCTGGCAAAATCTTTTCCATTGTTAATATCTGTGCTGCGGAGACCCAGCTCAACATCGCCATTGCCTCCAGGAACCCAATCTCCCTGCCCACCCTCACGTCTCATGCCGGATTCGTTGTAACTTCCTCCAGAAACATGTTGCGAAAGCAGAAGTGCTCCCCGTCGGTAAGGGGTCCACTGTTAGCGAAGACTGCATTTTGTGGGTGCCCGCCCTAAATTCTGGCATCGCACTGAGTGTGTGAATCCTTGGAGTTGAAATCGATCCGGGACTCTCGTTTTTCTTACCATCACCCCTGCAGAATCTCATCCCTCCATAAGTGCACTGTCTCCTGCATCTGCCATCTCTCGCCAGCTGCGACTAAAATTTATAAGAATAATCATTATTTAATAATGATAATATTTTTACTTATGTATCTAGGAAAGCCATACTGAGTCATAGGACTGGTTTTCAGGAGGATCCTGCTACGTACATTTTTTATTTTAAGATATTTTTGGCCAATTAATGGGTGTTTATACAAGTGGGTGGAAACCGCAGCACCCGGAGAAAACTCACGTATGCGAGGGAGCAACACTCTATCCCTCGTACAGATGGAAACAGATGCTGTACTGCCTTTTTCTGGCAAACTAGGGCATAGCACCTCCTCGATGCCCACGGGAATGGGGTTTAACAACATGTGTACAGTGATCCACCAATCCTCACTGGCTCCACAGCGCTGGTTACAGAGCACGTGCAGAGCCACCACCGAGACTCTCATACGTCCCTTCCTCACATCACAACTCGACTACTGAAATGCTCCTCGATAGCCTGCCCAAATCTCTGACATCTCCAAACTTGAGATGATCCAAAATGCCACTGCCAAACTCCTTACACCCGCCCGTGTAGACAAGACTACATTACCACAGTGCTCTACAATTTGGAGATCACTCATTTCTCCTCTGCTGCCCCCAATGTCATCATTGAAAATGAGATGTTCCATCTCAAGGGATTATTTAAGTGAAAAGTTTAATTTAATAGGTTGCAAACTCCTTTCCCACAGCCATCCATGCTATAAACTTCCTGCACTTGTCCAAGCTCAGGCTCAACACTTTTGTTTTTATTTTCTTGTGACTCTATTTAAAATAAATGTGACTGCAATCAATGGAGTTTGAAAAACCAAACTGTAAGTGCCAAACATACAGTGTCCTCTCACTTCCGTATGTCCTCATCTTTGCCAATCACCCACAATGGTCCATGATCCTCAGCAGCAATCAGTACTGCCTTGGGTGACTTCAGACGAACTGATGTCTTTATTTGGTTAAAATAGGTGAGCGATGGAATAACCAACTGTGTGTGCTCTGGTCCCAGGAGGCTGTTCGTGCTCCCTCAGTTGAGGAGAGGCTCCAGAAGATCCATCACGCCATCCACCAGCTACCGCTACCTCACTACAAGTAAACACCATCCCCATCAGCACAATCATCACCATCATCATCGTCACGCTATCCACCAGCTACTACTACCTCACTACAAGTAAACAACATCCCCATCAGCATAATCATCACCATCATCGTCACGCCATCCACCAGCTACCACTACCTCACTACATAATCATCGTCACACGATCCACCAGCTCCCTCTAAAGAAATTAATTTTCAATCTTTAAAACCTAGATTCAAACTAATTTCTTGATAACTTTTTTGTGTTTAGTTTGTTGTCCTTCCCCCGCACCTCCAATTAGTACGGTTGGCTACTTACGGTGCGAAAGAAGTTCAACATACTGTACATACGAAAGAGTAACATTAACACCATCAACATCACCATCATCACTAATGCCACCATCGTCACCACCACCCTTGTCACTATGCACGAGTTACGATGGCCATGCTCTGTTATTAAATGATGGGGGTGAGAGCGGGGCAAACGGAGTGAGGGGGTGATGAAACCAGATAGACGGATGTGTACTCTGCTCCAAAATCTAAGCCACTGTGACGATCGCGGTGAAGTACAATCAAGCAATTCCCATGACCCTCACGGCGTGGTGGTGGTGCTCGGTGGCAGGGAGAGTGCCATCCAGCAGTGAGTGGAGGGAGGGGGGGCTCATCCAGCAGTGAATTGACACAGGCCTCTACATAAACATTGATTGTATGCCGCTGGTTGTTGCTGCGGCTGCTGTTGTTGCTGCTGTGATAGCACGCTGGAGTTTCTCATCAGCCACCTGAGTCACATGGCATCTCACAGCGCACAGACCAACATGCACGCGCAGAACCTCGCCATCGTGTGGGCCCCTAACCTCCTGCGGTGAGTTGAACTTCGCGCCGTCGACACCACCAACGCCACTGGTGCCATGAACGCCAGCACCACCGTCAACATCGCCCCCCATCACCATCAATCAGCATCACAACCATCAACATCTCTGCAAAATCACCATAAACACCAACACCACCATTAAAATCACCACCATTGCTACAGTGAGGGAAAAAAGTATTTGATCCCCTGCTGATTTTGTACGTTTGCCCACTGACAAAGAAATGATCAGTCTATAATTTTAATGGTAGGTTTATTTGAACAGTGAGAGACAGAATAACAACAAAAAATCCAGAAAAACGCATGTCAAAAATGTTATAAATTGATTTGCATTTTAATGAGGGAAATAAGTATTTGACCCCTCTGCAAAACATGACTTAGTACTTGGTGGCAAAACCCTTGTTGGCAATCACAGAGGTCAGACGTTTCTTGTAGTTGGCCACCAGGTTTGCACACCTCAGGAGGGATTTTGTCCCACTCCTCTTTGCAGATCTTGTCCAAGTCATCAAGGTTTCAAGGCTGACGTTTGGCAACTCGAACCTTCAGCTCCCTCCACAGATTTTCTATGGAATTAAGGTCTGGAGACTGGCTAGGCCACTCCAGGACCTTAATGTGCTTCTTCTTGAGCCACTCCTTTGTTGCCTTGGCCGTGTGTTTTGGGTCATTGTCATGCTGGAATACCCATCCACGACCCATTTTCAATGCCCTGGCTGAAGGAAGAAGGTTCTCACCCAAGATTTGACGGTACATGGCCCCGTCCATCGTCCCTTCAATGCGGTGAAGTTGTCCTGTCCCCTTAGCAGAAAAACACCCCCAAAGCATAATGTTTCCACCTCCATGTTTGACGGTAGGGATGGTGTTCTTGGGGTCATAGGCAGATTACTGCTGGCCGCTCTCCGGATGACGTGATTGCTAAGCTCCAGGGTGATTTCAACAAACTACAACATCAGCTAGTTTCTCTTAAACTAGTCCTGAATACCTCCAAAACCAAGGTGCTATGCTTCTCTCCGGGACTAAAGCAGGAAGTTATTTTTCCCAAGTTACATTCCTTGAATAATTATCAAATAGAGCAAGTCAAGATCTATAAGTATCTTGGGGTCATCCTGGATTCAAAACTTAGTTTTGAAGATCACATTGATTATATTGGTAAAAAGACAAAAATAAAAATTGGTTTTCTGTATCGACGCAAGCACTGCTTCTCCCCAATGTTCCGTTTGGAATTGATAAAAGCTACCATACTGCCTCTACTTGACTACTGTGACATCGTGTATAAATCAGCCCCAAGTACTGTACTGAAGAAGCTTGATTCCATCTATCACTCGGCCTTAAGATTTGCATTGAACTGCCCATATAGGACTCACCACTGTGATCTCTACATTGGGTCAAACTTAACATCTCTTAATGTTCAACGGCTTGTGCACCAGATCTTATTTATTCATGATGTACTTACAAAAAAATCCGCAGACTACCTACTGGATCTCCTCTCTGTTTCAAAGAACAAATTTGACCTCAGGTCTTCGCTCATTTACCAGCTTCACATTCCCTATTGCCGTACAAAAACTGGAGGAAGGGCCTTTGCTATTGATGCCCCCAGGGTCTGGAATGCTATTGCCAATACACTGCAACTTGAATCACTACCTATGAGATCTTCACTCAAAACTGCTCTAGAGGAGTTGTACAACCCTAGCTGCCACTGCTATTCAGTGGCCTAAAATATGGCTCTAGATTTTGGTGTTATAATTTATTTACGTAGTTTATTGTTAAAATTCGGTCACAGCCCCTATGATCACTGTTACATTGGATTTATGGCTTTTATTTTGGTGATTTCGAAAAGTTTTTTTTGTTTTGGCCATGTTTTTGTTTATTGTAGTACGGAGTTAGACTGATGGCCTTAATCTTAGATGTCTTGTGGTTGTTGTTGTTATTTGACTCCCATCCCACTGGGATTTTTGCACACAGCGTTGGTGTACGGTGCTATTTCAGGAATATTTTGATATTTTTTCCTGTATTTTCTGTTTTGCACAGTCACATAATCACTTTAAGATGTTTTCTTGTTCATGTTTTTTTGTTTGTTGCGGTTGCACCCGATTTAAGAGCCGAATGGCTCACAGGGCTATACCAAATACATGAACTATGAACTATGAACTAACTCCTCCAAACACGGCGAGTTGAGCTGATGCCAAAGAGCTCCATTTTGGTCTCATCTGACCACAACACTTTCACCCAGTTGTCCTCTGAATCATTCAGATGTTCATTGGCAAACTTCAGACGGGCATGTATATGTGCTTTCTTGAGCAGGGGGACCTTGCGGGCGCTGCAGGATTTCAGTCCTTCACGGCGTAGTGTGTTACGAATTGTTTCCTTGGTGACTATGGTCCCAGCTGCCTTGAGATCATTGACAAAATCATCCCGTGTAGTTCTGGGCTGATTCCTCACCGTTCTCATGATCATTGCAACTCCACGAGGTGAGATCTTGCATGGAGCCCCAGGCCGAGGGAGATTGACAGTTATTTTGTGTTTCTTCCATTCGCGAATAATCGCATCAACTGTTGTCACCTTCTCGCCAAGCTGCTTGGCAATGGTCTTGTAGCCCATTCCAGCCTTGTGTAGGTCTACAATCTTGTCCCTGGCATCCTTGGAGAGCTCTTTGGTCTTGGCCATGGTGGAGAGTTTGGAATTTGATTGATTGATTGCTTCTGTGGACAGGTGTCTTTTATACAGGTAACAAGCTGAGATTAGGAGCACTGCCTTTAAGAGTGTGCTCCTAATCTCAGCTCGTTACCTGTATAAAAGACACCTGGGAGCCAGAAATATTTCTGATTGAGAGGGGGTGAAATACTTATTTCCCTTATTAAAATGCAAATCAATTTATAACATTTTTGACATGCGTTTTTCAGGATTTTGTTGTTGTTATTCTGTCTCTCACTGTTCAAATAAACCTACCATTAAAATTATAGACTGATCATTTCTTTGTCAGTGGGCAAACGTACAAAATCAGCAGGAGATCAAATACTTTTTTTCCCTCACTGTATAAGGACACCAATGGATGGTGGGCAATGGGTGGTGGTGGGTCTTGGATGGTGGTGGTGAGTGATGATGCTGGATGATGATGCTTGTTTATGATGATAATAGGTGACGAAGCTAGATGGTGTTGTTGGGTAATGCTGGGTAATGATGTTGGACTGTGGATCTAATGTTTGGGTGATGGCGATGGATCGTGAAGTTGGCTGATGATGCTAGGTGGTTGTGGTGGTGATGATTATGGTTGTTTGGACAGCTCACGTGGCACGGAGGGGGTACCGGTTGGCGGTGCCGCTTTCCTGGAGGTGCGGGTTCAGTCCGTGGTCGTGGAGACACTGCTCAGCCACCGGCAACGCCTCTTCTGCAACGTCTTCCAGCCCAGCGCCTCTCGGCCGCACAGTGGTGGGAGACAAACATGGGGGGGTGGGAGACAACCCCCCACATGGGGTGGGGGGGGAAGACACACCCCCCCCGAATGGGGGGGGGGGGTGGGAGATACAATCCTCCCACCACCCCTAATTCCCTTTTACCTCTGATTCTTCCCCTTACCCTCCCCTACCTAGTCTCCCTCTTACCCTCCCCTACCTAGTCTCCCTCTACCCTCCCCTACTAGTCTCCCTCTTACCCTCCCCTACCTAGTCTCCCTCTTACCCTCCCCTATCTAGTCTCCCTCTTACCCTCCCCTACCTAGTCTCCCTCTTACCCTCCCTACCTAGTCTCCCTCTAACCCTTCCCTACCTAGTCTCCCTCTTACCCTCCCCTACCTAGTCTCCTCTTACCCTCCCCTACCTAGTCTCCCTCTACCTTCCCCTACCTAGTCTCCCTCTTACCCTCCCCTACCTAGTCTCCCTCTTACCCTCCCCCTACCTAGTCTCCCTCTAACCCTTCCCTACCTAGTCTCCCTCTTACCCTCCCCTACCTAGTCTCCCTCTTACCATTCCCATACCTAGTCTCCCTCTTACCCTTCCCCTACCTAGTCTCCCCTCTTACCCTCCCCTACCTAGTCTCCCTCTTACCCTCCCTTACCTAGTCTCCCTCTTACCCTTCCCCTACCTAGATCTCCCTCTTACCCTCCCCTACCTAGTCTCCCTCTTACCCTCCCCTACCTAGTCTCCCTCTTACCCTCCCCTACCTAGTCTCCCTCTACCCTCCCCTACCTAGTCTCCTCTACCCTACCTACCTAGTCTCCTCTTACCTTCCCTACCTAGTCTCCCTCTTACCCTCCCCTACCTAGTCTCCCTCTTACCCTCCCCTACCTAGTCTCCCTCTTACCCTCCCCTACCTAGTCTCCCTCTTACCCTCCCCTACCTAGTCTCCCTCTTACCCTCCCCTACCTAGTCTCCCTCTTACCCTCCCCTACCTAGTCTCCCTCTTACCCTCCCCTACCTCGTCTCCCTCTTACCCTCCCCTACCTAGTCTCCCTCTTACCCTCCCCTACCTAGTCTCCCTCTTACCCTCCCCTACCTAGTCTCTCTCTTACCCTCCCCTACTTCGTCTCCCTCTTCCCCTCCCCTACCTAGTCTCCCTCTTACCCTCTCCTACCTAGTCTCCCTCTTACCCTCCCCTACCTAGTCTCCCTCTTACCCTCCCCTACCTAGTCTCCCTCTTACCCTCCCATACCTAGTCTCCCTCTTACCTTCCCCTACCTAGTCTCCCTCTTACCCTCCCCTACCTAGTCTCCCTCTTACCCTCCCCTACTTCGTCTCCCTCTTCCCCTCCCCTACCTAGTCTCCCTCTTACCCTCCCCTACCTAGTCTCCCTCTTACCCTCCCCTACCTAGTCTCCCTCTTACCCTCCCCTACCTAGTCTCCCTCTTACCCTCCCCTACCTAGTCTCCCTCTTACCTTCCCCTACCTAGTCTCCCTCTTACCCTCCCCTACCTCGTCTCCCTCTTACCCTCCCTACCTAGTCTCCCTCTTACCCTCCCCTACCTAGTCTCCCTCTTACCCTCCCCTACCTAGTCTCCCTCTTACCCTCCCCTACCTAGTCTCCCTCTTACCCTCCCCTACCTCATCTCCCCCTTACCCTCCCCTACCTAGTCTCCCTCTTACCCTCCCTTACCTCGTCTCCCTCTTACCCTCCCCTACCTAGTCTCCTTCTTACCCTCCCCTACCTAGTCTCCCTCTTACCCTCCCCTACCTCGTCTCCCTCTTACCCTCCCCTACCTAGTCTCCCTCTTACCCTCCCCTACCTCGTCTCCCTCTTACCCGCCCCTACCTAGTCTCCCTCTTACCCTCACCTACCTAGTCTCCCTCTTACCCTCCCCTACCTAGTCTCCCTCTTAAATTCCTCCCTCACTTCTGGTGTTTTTCTCTCACCTCCAAGTCAGCTATCATAATCCACCTTCTACAAAAACACTCTATTGACATTTTTAGTCCTGCACGTTACTGGCCAATCTCTGTCCTACTTCTCGAAGGTTCTTGAACGTCTTGTCCACTCCCGCCTTGCTCACTATATCTCATCTAATTATATTATTTTTACCCTCAGTTCCAATCTGGATTTTGCCCCTCCCATTCCACTGAAACTGCCCTCGTCACTGTATGGAATCATCAAAACAAACTCTGCCCATTCTTGTTCTGGCCTCTCCTCAATCCTCATTCTTCTGGATCTGTCCTCAGTCTTCCCTACACTTATTTCCACCCTCTTCAGTTTCAGTATCTCCAGCACACCTCTTTTCTGGCTCCAGTCTTATCTCTTTTCATGCACTTCCTTGGTTTCTTTCAGCTACTCCACCTCCCCCCCTCCCATGTCACTGTTGTAGTCCCCCAACGGTCTGTCCTAGGACCCTTTTATCTCACCTCACTTTCCCCATCGTTTCTTTGTCGACGACACCCACATTTATTTTCCTTTCCCTTCTTTACCCCTGGCCTTGCCTCTCGCATTTTAGACTCCTTGTCACAGTCGAGTCCTCGATGTCATGCCACTACGTTTCCATCAATCCTTACAAAACTGATATCATTTCCTCCCTTTTCCCCATTCCCCTCCACCCTGTCCTCTCATTCCCTCCCTTCTCCCTCACTCCGGTCTCCTCTGCTCGCAACCTTTGAGCCATCTTCAACTCCTCCCTCTCTGACCACATCTCTGCCACTACCCGCACCGACCGCTTTCACACATTCAGCATTCTTAAAATCCATCCCCTCATCCGACTATCTGCTGCTGATTCACTCCCTCGTTTTCACTCACCTTGATTCTTCGTCTCGGCCTTCCTGCTTATGCCTTTGCTCCTCTCCAACATATACAAAATGCCTCAACCCAGATCATTCTTAACCTCCCCCACAATTCCCACACTGCTTCTCTACATTCCAAACTCCACTGGCTCCCAGTCTCCTATCGCTGTCTGTTTAAATTTCTCACTCCAGTTGATAAATCCTCCACGGTCTTGCCCCACCATATCTTGCATCTCTCATATTTTGCTCCTCTCTCCCACTCCATCCTCCATGCTCCCAATCTATTCTGTCCCTCTCTGTGCTTCCCTTGCCCTGCGCCCAGTCTCGCTTTCATTCCTTTTCCCTTCTTGCTCCCCTCCACTGCAACAAACTTCTGCTGCACATAAAACAATCATTCCAGCGCTGTCCTCTAGACAGTCTGGTCCCTTCACCTGATGAAGGCCACTTGTTTTGTGGCCGAAACGTCGTGATTTTTGTTTTTTTATTTTTTACCTACGTGACTTTACCGAATAGAACCAAAGAGTACAATCACCTTCCCTTAAACAACCTCCATCCTGCTACCGATAACTCCCTTCCCCCACCCCCAGCTACGACCAAGCCTACACCAACCCCTATCACTACCCCAATCAATCTTTAACCACTCTCACCTCTCCTCGTGTCACCATAACTACACCACCACTTTTAATAACCCCACTCTTTATTTCATCTACTATCGTCGGATGTACAATTGTATAATTGCTGTAAAGCACCTTGGAATAAGGTACTTTATAAATCTATATAAGATAAATACCCCCCCCCCACCCACGTGGTGGGGGGTGGTGGGAGACACAATCCTCCCGTGTAGGGGGTGGGGGTCACAAGGCTCATGTGAGCAGGAAATCACTTAGACTTTTTTTGTTAAATTTCGGCTAATGGAACAAAGCGGTATGAAAGCAAGGATGTATGCAAGATATTTTTTTAAAAATCCATCAACTGTATAGTACGACAAAATAAAAGTGAATCATCTATTCCAGTTTTGAATCATGGCCCCAAATCCTGACAATTTCATTGAATCTGGTGGGGCCGGGGGGGGGGGGGGGGAGAAATAAAATCGTGAACAATTTAGTACTCCTGGCACCAACTACCAAGCACCATGTCACATCTGTGTAGCCGCATTCCCACGATGATGACAATAATGAGAAGAGTGTTCGCAATTGTTTTTGCAGATGGACTTTCCACCCAGAACAGCTCTGCAGCTGAAGAGGTATGTGTTTGTGTGTGTGGAGAACGGTGGCGCAGCTGTTAACGGGCTGCGCTACGAACCCGGGAACCTGAGTTCAATTCCCGCTCACGGCCAATAATAGTGACGATTATCTGAACTGGTCCTGAGCGTCCTCTAGGTCGACTCGGCCTCAAATTAGTACCTGGTGCCATGTCCAAATATCGCCACTAGGGAGACACAGGCGGCCAGGCGTGGTGTTGGCCACCCACGCCTTCGTGTGCTGTGCCAACCTTCAAAGGTGCTCGCTAGCAGCACTTACACGAAGAGTCTGTTTCAGCTATAAGGGGGTTCTTTGTCTTTGTGTGTCACCTACATGGACCACTGGCTGGAGAAAATGTGGGTCGAGAGAATGATAATCCCAAGTCACACCCACTTGTTCAGCACCACACCCCCAGATGGCCATAATGAACCCTGGGAATGATGGAGACCGTTTTGGGAGTTGATCTCAGGGCCTTAGAGGTCATGTTTCAGTGCCCCGGCATGGTCATTATGAGCGCTGATGCGAATGGCGTCATATTTGTGTGGGGAACGTCGCTCCAGGCTGCGCTGCCTCCCCCGTTGGAGGGAGAGGTGGCGTCGCGTTCCGCCCTGCGCCTCGTGTCGCTGGAGGAAGCGCAGCGAGCGGCGTCACGCTCCCACGGAGCCCTTCCCGAGGACCTGCGGACTCCGCCAACACTCAGGCGCAAGCTCCACCACCACCACCATCACCACCAGCACCACCAGGAAAACCAAGAGCAGGAACAGCAGCATCAGGATCATCGCCTGCAGCAGGACCAAGCAGAGAATGACCATCTCCATCACATTAATATCCATCAGCGGGCGGACTCGGTGGGCTCGAGAATGGCGTGTGTCAGCGATGACTACCAGCTCGACAAGTAAGCGAGTCTGAGCTTCAGGAAGGGCTCACGGTGGCAGAGGTGGCCTGAGAATGAACTGGGGTTCCAGTTAACGAGTTTATGGTCTGAGGCCGGTTACCAATGACTGCACAGAATCGTATCGTATATAGTTGAGTTTTACAAAATTCGACATATTCCAGCTCTGAGAATTGTCTTTCAACAGACCGGTCTGCTGAACACAACGTCAGTTGGCATGTTTTGTTCGTGTGACAACTTGGTTTGATTGGCTGGAATAAACGTTCCTTAAAACTCGCTTATTTTCCTTGCTTATCCAAAGTCGCCTTCCCCCTCCCTTCCCCATCATTAAATCCATCCCTCTTCCCAACTTCCATACCCATCCATCACATTCACTCATCATTAACCACTCGTCACTTTCATCATCGTTTATTTCACGCATCTCCATATGTACTACCATCCTTAGCTTATCTCATCACACTATTCTGCCGTACATATAGTTAATTACCTGTTCAGCGCCTTAGTCAAGGCGCTATGCGAATTAAGGAGGGTATATGACGCCATTTGGCTTCATACTTGCAAGATCTAACCCAAATCCCATCCTACATTGTAACATTAGTGGCAAAAACTTACGTGTTAAATAATCAGTGTCATTACTCAGCCAGCACCTCTGGCAGTTATAGAGTTAGGTGTCTCCCATGTACCCGTGTCTCCCTGTTTCAATGGCATTTTTGTCTCCCATATAACCATGTCTCCCATGTCAGTATCCCTCTGTCTTTCCCATATCTCCCGTTTTACTGCATCTCTCAAGTCGGTATCCCTGTGTCTTCCCCGTGTCTCCCATGTCCTAGTGTCTCCCACGTCGGTATCCCTGTGTCTCTCCCGTGTCTCGCGTGTCACCGTGTCTCCCCCGTGCATCTTTGTACGATGTGGTGCTGCGTGGCAGGGAGACAAAGCGTAGGAAGGGAGGGCTTCTCTCCTTCTTCAACCGCTACACGCAGAGTAGCCGAAGAAGACGCAAGAACTCCAACGCCTCGGATTCCGTGCAGCTCCGAGGTGCGAGCGGCGCACGTGTACATCACGCACGCACACCCTCGTATATCTGACACACACACAAGCACGCATACAAATATATCATAATCACGTACACAGACACAAATTTCCCGTATAGCCTTAACATGCTTTCACATACATCACATATGGCACACAGGAACACACATATTTCATGATTACACACATTGTGAGCACACACAAACTCGTCACGCACGCACAAACACAGAGTTCACATGTATAGCCTACGTAGACCCAAAGGTGAAAAATGGCATGCATGCATATATCTATCTATATGTACACACACAATAAACATTCACTCACGTGTGAACGTGATGCATACGCTCGTGTGCATCGGTGTGGGCAGGCTACCATGGGGAACGCGAGGTGAAGCAACAGCATCGACTATCACAGAGCACAGCTAACCTCCTAGAGGCACATGGTGAGTCACCCCTAAGCCATCCTCCTAGAGGCACATGGTGAGTCACCCCTAAGCCATCCTCCTAGAGGCCCATGGTGAGTCACCCCTAAGCCATCCTCCTAAAGGCACAGGGTGAGTCACCCCTAAGCCAACCTCCTAGAGGCCCAGGGTGAGTCACCCCTAAGCCATCCTCCTAGAGGCCCGTGGTGAATCACCCCTAAGCCATCCTCCTAGAGGCTCAGGGTGAGTCACCCCTAAGCCATCCTCCTAGAGGCCTGTGGTGAGTCACCCCTAAGCCATCCTCCTAGAGGCCCGTGGTGAGTCACCCCTAAGCCATCCTCCTAGAGGCCCGTGGTGAGTCACCCCTAAGCCATCCTTCTAGAGGCCCGTGGTGAGTCACCCCTAAGCCATCCTCCTAGAGGCCCAGGGTGAGTCACCCCTAAGCCATCCTCCTAGAGGCCCGTGGTGAGTCACCCCCAAGCCATCCTTCTAGAGGCCCGTAGTGAGTCACCCCTAAGCCATCCTCATAGGGGCCCAGGGTGAGTTACCCCTAAGCCATCCTCATAGAGGCCCAGGGTGAGTCACCCCTAAGCCATCCTCCTAGAGGCCCATGGTGAGTCACCCCTAAGCCATCCTCCTAGATGCCCATGGTGAGTCACCCCTAAGCCATCCTCCTAGAGGCCCATGGTGAGTCACCCCTAAGCCATCCTCCTAGAGGCTCAGGGTGAGTCACCCCTAAGCCATCCTCCTAGAGGCCCAGGGTAAGTCACCCTAAATCCTCCTAGAGGCCCGTGGTGAGTCACAACCATCTCTATACTCAATCTTCATTCACTGACTAAACTCACAGTGGCCAACTGAATGAATTAACTGAATCCCTCAATCCTTCATCTCTTACTGAACCCCTATCCACCAAGGCTGACTCAACACTTGACCTTCAGGACTCGTATTAACAATGGCAGTGTGCGGTTTCCATCACGTCTTTCCACTTGTTTCATCTCGCAGATCTAACACAGCATCACCCCAGCCGCAGGCTGACCAGATCCAACAGCATTGGCACCCTCAGCAATTCAGGGTAAGCACAGACACTTTGTTATTTGTCATCATCAGCATTAAAGCAAAAGCACCAGAAGCAGAACATGCTGAACAAAGTTTATTTTGCTCCTTCAGGCCATTGTCTGCTGGTTGTGGAAATGTAAACAAAATAATTGCCTCCATTCTATGATATTCACGCAAACAAGCAAAACCTTTCATCAAAACTTTTAATCAACATTCGCTCACTGGGAATGGGGTCACTGCCTCCTGCTGCTGCGTCGATCGTCTAAGATTTCCTTCCTCAAACCATTCACACTGCTGAGAGCCTCTCTGTTCATGCCCCGCACTCAACCCTTTCCCTTCTGTGTAACACGTAGGCTTTCACGATCAATATTATCCATGATAGAGGTTTTTTGGGTTAGATTGCGTAAATCTTAATGTGTCATTAAACCCGCCACCACCCGTCACAGCCAATTAGTACACAGCTTATTACGTGACAAACCTTATTAATTTTCTGTCGGGTGGTGGCTAGTTTAACGACACATTTATATTTACGCGATCTCACCGAAAAACAAACTTCTACTTTCCGTTCTGCCCAATGGTGATCTTCATGAAGTGTCACCGTGCATGCCTCTACCGTAAATGACATCTTAATTCCCTCTCTGCAGTAAATATGCTCTCTAGTTTGGCACGCAATTCCGAGTCGCACAGTGTCTTGAGGCGCTCTCGCATTCACATGCCTGGTACTGTATTGTACAGCTGCCGTCTCCCAGTTCTCCTTTACAAAAGAGCAAATGGATCTCCCTGGGCGTGCCTATGCGGTAAGAAGAGGAGAATCCATTCCTCACTGACAGTTTCTCTCGTTCAACAGGTCCACGGTCACTGAGAGCCTGAAAGAAGTAGATGCAGAATCGGAAGAGGTCAAAGAGCCAAATTTTACTCTACGGAATGTCAAGGATGGACCCAAAGATGATTCCACCAACCTGCATTCTTCACTCCGACACACTGGTCCAGGTCAGACATCTGAGAAGTCCAACGAGACACAGGCAGCTCCGTCAGAGCCTCCCCTCGAGGCCATAACTGATGCCCCCTGCTGTGAAGATGTGAGCATGAAAACATTGATTACTTCAACTCAACCTACCGAGCAGGACCTCAATTTGGGGGACTCTGAACCACTGGTCTTGGAGGTTCCCAAAGATGAGCCCTGCATGGACAACTCCGTAGTAAACGGGGAGCAGAGACCAGCGACTGGCACGAACTTATTGGCCAGCACCGCCACAGAGACAGCCGTGGCCAATGTGGAAATTGTGGGAGAGGCTGCAAAAAAAGGGACAACCAATAGTAATGATTCAAAACCACGGGTGTACGCAGATGGTAAGAAAACAGAGTTTGATCAACCAAATGGGTGCAACATTATTTCCAGAAATCCATCTGCTTGTGATGATAATGATGATAATGATGATGACGATTGTGAGTTGGTCTCAGCTCAGATAGGGACAGGTGATCATGTGAAGCGTGCATCGACGTCAGCAGACTCTGCTGAGAAGGGCAGCAGTGAAGTAACATGCGTGGCCACGGTCCAAAACCTCGGTTCAGATTCTGCCTCCACTGACACGGCCGCGCCGGCAATCTTGGCACTTTCATCACAAGAGCCTCTCGTCTCCACATCTCGTGGCACCGCCGCCGCAGATGAGGAAGGTGACGCCGCCACGCAAGGAGGTCGAGAGGGAGGCTCCACCACACCTCTCGGCAGTCCAGCAGCCACCCTGGGATGCGTAAGCGCAAGCGGGACCGAGGCGTGTGATGAGGAACCGACGAATGGCAGCGGGGATGAAAGCTGTGACTTGGAGACAGATGGTGGTGTACCTGAATCTCTAACGGCGCAAAACGACGTAGACCTGGCGCAGGCTCCTAAAACAACTACAGGTGCGTTGGCAACACCTGAAACAACAACGTGCATCTCCGCTGAAGCACGTTGTGGTGTACCTGAGACTGGGATAGTAAACGTAGACTCGTCTGCGTCAGAAGAGTTATCAAACGCTTCCAGATCTCGTGAGTCATCTAGAGATGCATCTGCAGCTACTGTGTCAGCTAAAGAAACTATAGACACATGTGGTTCTCCTGAAACAAACACAGATATGTCAGTAGACACATTGCCATCTCAAGAAGTAAGCGGAAGTATGTCACCACCTCATGAAGCAAATTCAGATATGTCATCTGCTGAAACAGCTATTGAGATAGTGGCATGTTGTGAGTCAGACATACACCCATCACCTTATTCTGAAGTGATTATAAACACATTACCTTTTGATGCATCCACACTCAAAACTGTATCTACTGAGTTAATTAACAACACATCTACAGGTGCGTATACAGACAAAAATGCTGAGGCACCTAGAGAAGCATCTCCTGAAGCGCCTTCAGACATTTCTTCTGAAGCATCTACAGACACGTTTGCTGAAGCTCCTACAGACACATCTGCTGAAGCACTTACAGACACTGTCAGATCTCCTGCAGCACTTTCAGACACTTCTGCTGAAGCATCTACAGACACATCTGCTGAAGCTCCTACAGACACATCTGCTGAAGATCCTACAGACACATCTGCTGAAGCACTTACAGACACAGTCAGATCTCCTGCAGCACCTTCAGACACTTCTGCTGAAGCATCTACAGACACATCTGCTGAAGCTCCTACAGACACGTCTGCTGAAGCACCTATAGACACATCTGCTGAAGCATCTACAGACACATCTGCTGAAGCACCTACAGACACATCTGCTGAAGCACCTACAGACACATCTGCTGAAGCCTTTACAGACACATCTGCTGAAGCTGCTACAGACACATCTGCTGAAGCTCCTACAGACACGTCTGCTGAAGCACCTACCGACACATCTACTGAAACACCTACAGACACATCTGCTGAAGCATCTACAGACACATCTGCTGAAGCTCCTACAGACACATCTGCTGAAGCTCCTACAGACACATCTACTGAAACACCTACAGACACATCTGCTGAAGCACCTAAAGTCACAGTCAGATCTCCTGAAGCACCTTCAGACACATCTGCTGAAGCTTCTACAGACACATCTGCTGAAGCTCCTGCAGACACATCTGCTGAAGCTCCTACAGACACATCTGCTCAAAAACCTTCAGACACATCTGCTGAATCACCTTCTGGCACGTCTGCTGGAAAACCTTTAGACACATCTGCTGAATTACCTTCTGACATGCCTACTGACGCACCTCAACACGCATCTTTTGTCACAGACATGGACTTGTCCACATCAAGTGACGATACTGTAGACACCTCAGTCAATGGTGAAAGTGTTCTAAATGTGTGCATGTCAACGGAGACCATGCCCATCTCCAAAGTGTCCCCACGACAACGTAATGCACACCACTTTAAGCCAGCAGATGAGCAGTGTGCGGATCCATTACCAACAGCAGCAGATGAGGTTGAGGTCAATCTAGCAAATACGGACACTTCACACATTGAGGAGGCCAGAATATTGAACTTTGGATATCCCGCAGTAGATCTGGAACTCTCCGAATCAGATGAAGCACTTTTAACCACAACCACAAACATCTTACTGGACATTCCCATTGATTTAAAGATAGCAGAAGACATGGCATCCCCTGGACAAAGGCCACTGCCCAGATACGGGATCAAAGCGAGTCCAAGATCCCCTGCTAAAACCATCCAGCAAGGATCTTTTTATCACAAATATAGCCAAGCGCTGGATCTCATTAGCAACCGCACAGAGTCCAACGTGGACACAGATCCACCTTGTGTTCTGAAGCATTCCGCTCTGCAGGAAGAGGGTACACGAGGAATGGAGCGGAGAAGAAAAGGCTCGGCGATGGACTCCGATTCAGAAAACAACTGCGCAGGGGAACCCAGAACTCCTGGGCTGAAGGGTAATGGGCAATTAAGCCCGGAGAATAGAGGGCCCGGCGAGCCCCTGGGGACGGACGGTGTAGCCCTGCAACCAGCAGACACAGAGGTGGTTCGCACCTGGGTCGAGGTTCGGCTCAGTAAAGCTTTCCCAGTGGTCCGCTTGAAGCCACAGTTCACCAGCCAACTGGGCAGCGGATAAGTTTGCTTCCTGTATCGTTCATGAAAGTGTGGATAATGGGAAACCACGTGAGCCTGCTGTGGGATTCAGTCTTTGGTCACAGGGCGAGGGTGATTTCCCGTGCATGCAGGTGAATTTTCTCAGGCATGGAGTGACTCGTCGGATTATTAGTAGCGCTGAACATTTTATCGATTCGTGAACAGTGGTACTTAAGCTCATATAGAACGTTGATCGCCCGTGTAGGAATCAACGATTTTGACACATACATGTTACAGTATATGCAACGGGGGTCACGTGACCCCTGGAGCCACTAGAGGTCGCTACATTAACCGTAAAAAAAATGTTTTGTTAATAATCAAACCCAATTGCGACCGTAATTGTGACATTTCATCGAATTGCAATCAGGTGACTTTGTGACATCCATAATGATGGGTTCAAGATATAACACAAGCGCAAGCAACGTCCAGCGGTTCGCAATGTCGTCTCGCAACCAGAAGGGAAGCCATCAACGTGCAGCTGTCACGATTCGTACATGAGGCAGTCGCGTGACAATGCACATTATACAAAGCGCTATTTCTGCATGTATGTATTATGTACATGCACAGTACACGCAGTTGCAATGCACACGAAGTGCTTGTACACGGCACGTGTACCACGTTGGCTTAAATCGTCAGCACTTGCTAACAGCACTTTGTCTATAGTGGTGAAGATTTGTGCTGGATAATCGGGGATTGTTATTCCCATGTGTTTGTTTGTATAGAGGGCGGTCCGTTATAATATTTCATGAACCAAACTATGTCGTTTGCAATACTTGCGGTACTGAACAAAACACATTTTTGATTGAGAATTTTTTTTGCTAATTTTGTTTTTTTTTGTTTATAAATATGCTCATTTTCCACTCGTTAATTTTCATTGCAGTAAAAAAAGTGCCTTTTCCGAAATACTGCCTTTAACATTGAGTTTGTTATATCATCGCGTTGTTATACATAACAGCGGCATTCGTTTATGCAAATTTCATCTCACAGAATGCTGCGCTATTCTCAAACCCGGAGGCGCATCGTTTGAGATGTGTTCAGCCAGTTAGCGGTCAGTGTTTATCCATGTTGGAGGTGAATCCAGAGGTCCCGGTGAGAACTCAAGCGTGCCTTGGGACAAAACTCTTTTCCCATTCTGATAGTGTAAGGTGCTGTGGCCACGTTGGCTGAACAGCCCTCTCCTGGCAAGCCAGGGTTATGGCACTTTGACGCCTACGGAAAGGGGGTGATTCACAACATCCTTCCAACCCAACCCTCGCTGCTGCCTCGACAACGGTGGATTACAGCTCGCGTACATAGCCACCACCGCCTGGCCACACTCGGTAAACAATAGTTACATGTTTCATAAACTTAAGTGGAGTGAATAGTAGAGCAGTTAATTTTGTGTCAAAGCATTATTTCCTACTGTAGAATCTAAACTGGTGTTGAATTTGGCAGAATAACACAAAGACAAAAATTTTAATAAATGTTAACACCAATTTAGATTTCATCGTCGTAAATAATGCTGTTGAATACCACAGACGCACCCACGTGCAGGCACATACGGGCTGTGCACGCATGACACACTTTAATGTGCTCGCATCTGCACGCGCACTGGTACTTCCACATACGCCCAGTTAAATTCCCACTTCCATATTTCATACACGCACACACAAGACACCCACGCAACGTTGCACACACACTCGTTTCAACATGTGCACGGACACACAGCGCTTGATGACGTAACGCCTCGATGACGTAACGTCTCGATTCTCCAGATTCAAACTACACAATCTGATTGTTACCGTACCACACAACAAGGCCGGCATTATCAATGCAAATACAATAACAAATCCGCGCAGTACATAACAACGTAATGCACTCCTGTTTGAGCAATAAATGAGAGTTGGAAATGATGCGCCGATTCGTGATTGGTTAACGTCACGCAAAACACATGCGTTGATTCGGCATTGCTTTTTGTGGCTGGAGAACGTCATAACAGCTGTTGTCAACCACGTGGCCTCGTTTGACACAGAACCCTGGTCTCGACTGACACAGAGACCCTGGCTTCGGGGTGTGCAGCCTCGGCAGCAGACGTGCAAGGGCAACTAACAGCAGCTGCTCACGTATTCTCACCTTGAACTGCAAACGCTCAATCAAGTATTATTTAGTTTTTTGGTGTGATGGCTATTTGTTCGGGCGCTAAATGCCAATGCCTACCAGCCAAGGTGAGAGGGCTTCAGGAGAGATTTCGTGTGGTTTTGCGATTCCTCCTCCATTGAAGGAGCGCAGGTGTAAAGTTGTTTTGCTCTATGGGCCATAGTTTAGGTTGCAGGCCCACAATGATCACATCATCGTCATCATCACGCTCCATGGGTGTACACACATCTTTCTGGCACCAATCTCTCGTGTCATCGTCAACCCGTTCTCTGTTAGGTCTTCCTCACTTTCGGCTTCATTCCATTTTTTCAAACAAACACACTTTGAATTTTGCTGTTGTCCATCCTCTAGATGTGTCCAACTAGTGCCAGTTTCCCTCTAATCACTGCATGCATCAAGTTTTCTTCTATGTGCGATCTTTTTATTATACATTGGTCACTGTTTGGGTGCAGTATATATGCAGTATCTTTTGGCAATACATTTCCAATGCCATTATCTTATCTCAGTTTTTTTTTTCATTAAGTATCGCAGGCATACCAAGTACTGTACTAAGCACGCATGATTTTAGGATGTTCAGTTTGGTCTTGTAGCCGATTTTCTTGCTTCTCCAGATGTTATTTAATCCCACCATTACTCCTTTTGCCTTTGCAATCCTCACTCTTACCTCTTACGTGCAGTCGATGCCCCATGGCAATAGACATCCCAAGTGTAACTATTCCTTTACATATTCTTGGTTCTTTCGGTAAAGTCACGTAGATGATTGCTTGTGTTGCAGTCGAAATTTTATTGTCTTATATTTTTTATTATTTTATTGTTTCCCTTCTACGTGACTTTACCGAAAGAACAAAGAATATGAATCCCTGCAGTCACGAAAGTTTTAAATCAAAATGTATTCCTTTACATTCACAATCGTGGTGCTTTATAGTATTACTTCTTCCTCAATGTCCTCCCGAACACCATCGTCTTTGCCTTTTCTACGTTTATCCTCAGTCCTGCACCCTTTGCTGACTTATTCAGCATATGAACACTTTCCTGCTTACTATGCAGCTTTCTTCCATCCAATCTATGTTGTCCGCGAATCCCAGGTTGTTATTTCTCCTTGCACAAGCATTCATGTGCCACTGTCTTGAATGGCATCCATCACGACGTTGTTTGTGGTTGGGAACCATTAAATCCCCTATACAAACTTTACTACTGACTTTGACCTTTCAACTAGATCCTGCAGAATCTGTGGCGGGGGGGGGGGGGTATTTCCCCTTCTCTCCATACTTGCTTGCATAGCGCATGCAAAGCCTGCAAACATCCGGGGAGGTGAAAATATCTTAAAATTTACTTGGCTGATTTGCAGCTTCCACACCCTGCAGCGGAAATATCCTTTCCTCTCTCACCCAAATAAATACATAATCCGGCTGAGAAGTTAAATTGCAGCCACAATGTTGGTAGTTTGGGCCATTTAGCCCTTCTTCGTTGCATTCTGTACCAGTTTTCTTATTTTACATTCCCATTCGTATACAACCCACGTCTCATTTTGCACACTAGACTTTCTATCTTAATGGGAATTCGTCTGCTTTTAAGGGTGGAATAAAGAATGTAAACGCATCAAAACAAGAGTGCGACGTAACTGCAGACATAATTTCTCAACGTGTCCGAATATTATACTGTCTCCAACTATAATGAACAATTTGGCTGCCCTCTTCGCTCTGAAGAATGGCCATTTTCTGAAACAATAGCTTTCTGGGCATTTAGTGGGGCACGTCTTAAATCCAGCACGGTGGTGAAGGCGAGGGTTGGGGGGGGGTCACCGCACAAATGTTGTGAAACTTCCTTTCCGTTGGCATCGAGGTGCCATACCCTGGCTTTCCAGGAGAATGTAGGACAGCACGTGTGCGCTAATCTCCATGTCACATCTCTGCAGGATGGAGTGTTGCTTCCTCACACCACGTGGGTTATCTCAGGGTGCTCCAGTTTCCTCCCATATGTATAAATGCTCATTTACTGGCTGAAAACATGTTGCCATATAGAGGAACGCCGAACTTGGGCAATTGTTGGCATTGGTTCAGCGCCTGGCTGCTGCTGCTGCTGCTGCTGACTTCCCGCTTGCCTCTAGTTCCTCGCACCTGTGTCGTTCTTTTTCTCTAGAGTGAGCAAATACTGCGTGGCACATTACAATTGTTATTATTATTAGAATATTATATAATACAATAATGACGATTGTTAATTCTAGTCCACTGCTGGTTGAAGGCCTCCCAACACCATGTGGGATGAATATATTATTCCCAATTGTTTATAACGGGGAAAAGTAACACAGAGTTGAATTCCTGGCCGCGGCTAACATCAGTAGCAAGTGACTTGTATTTGAACTGCTCCCTTCTCTCGCCCCAGCCTTCACCAATCCGAATTTGTCAAAGGTGGTGAAGTATGGTCAAATAACTCCCATGGCCGTCTTGGCTTGGAAATATCTTCATTCAGCATTGGATTATTGACAAATGATTATACATTAGTATATACACTCGGTTGTAATTAAATACTATGTACAAACATTCAACTTATACAGATTGTATATACAGTGGCTTTGTTACAGCTGATGAGTCCAAATTAAGTGCCTTCGAACCAATATTATTTATATAAAAACACAGTTGTTACATTTTCTTTATTAAAAAAAAACATTATTATAAAGATATACTGTATATGATGGCATTGCAGGTTGTGCAGTTTAGAGTGAGATTGTGATCAATGGGATAGAGGAATACGGATTTCTCAGATAACAAGGCAATCGATACGGTAGGGGTTGTCCAGGCGTTCATAATGGTCATTTCAGAGCCACCGAGCCAGCATTGCTGGGACCTTCGCTCCCAAACCGGGCATGCGACCACGGTTTGACCTAGTTGGCACATGTTCGAACACAAAGACTAAATATTGCACGAACATTTGAATGTATACGTTTCTTTTTGCACTTGAATCAGCTGGCCCAATCACGATGGATAAATATCGTATATACGCAACATATCATGTACATGACGTGCGGCTGAATATTCTGCACAGAGCGTGAGTGAGGCCTGTCTCGTGTTGAGGACTCTTGAACGAGTTCTATGGTGTCATTGTCTCGAGATGCCCCTGGAGGCGTGTGGATGCCACCATTCTGGACTCAAGACATGGCTGATATAAATCATGCGCACGGGCATGGAAAGTGTTCAAATTGTTTTCATTTTTTGCCAGATTTATAATATATGTTGCACTATTGATCGTGGATATTTTACACAGAAATGTATGGACTTTACTGGAATGTTGATAAATAAAGACACGCTCTCCCACATTCAAAACGCGTGTGAAGCCTGTTGAGATTCATTCGAGTTTTCCATCAAAATGGAGTGGTCTCAATGAATAATTTCCCGATTTTGCTCACGAATACCAGGAGTTCTGGCAGAACATTTACCCTAATTGTGTTTTCTTTTCCTGACATTGTCTGCCAGAACGTATGTCGGTACTCTACTCCTCGTTGAGATTTATTTATTTGTGGACAAGTGCAGCTGAGTGGCAATTTCATTCTTCATCAACATTTTCCTAATGGATATGTGGAGTCGCAAAAAAACGTGGATTTGCCTGCGACTCTGATACGCAAAGTTCATACCCCATTTTTCGGCGTGGTTAAGAGGAGTTATCTGGCAGTATACTTGTATATACGATATATAATTATAAATTCGTAGTACATTATATATGATTGGGACTCTAAAATTCATGGAAATTTAACGGTAAGATTTGAAAGTAAATACTTTTATTTCGTTATCGTAACGAGCTGAGATTGCAATACTTTGACAAATAACCAAGCTAAACACGTGAAGTTGGTAAGTCGGATTTATCGGCACAACATTGCCTATGGCAGCACTGACAAATTCTGGGTCACTGTGCATCTGTAACATGACGTGTAACCACTGGGATCCATTCGCTAAGAGGACAGCTCCAACATTCAAAGTGTCACTGCTCCCCTGCATCAACCATGTTATGTATGCTTTGTTTTATTGATTGAACAATCTGTTTTGTATATACATTGTTCCGTATTTTGGTGTCATTTTCATATAAGCCCTCTTGGGTTTCTAATGTCACCTGCACACCTTTTTACCTTGTTCTTTCTTATTTGCACTCTTAGTTTTTCACTTGTGTTTTTTTGTGAGAATAAAATAAAATCTAAATCTAAATTGCTGCTCACTCAGAGAAGGATTTGGAGGCACCGCTGCATGACCTGGAACGTGCTACTCAGAGGAGGGGCCTTACCATCAGCCCCACCAAAACTAAGCACCTGCCTGGGTATGTTGTGTCATCAAACACTTCACCGCCCTCTGCTCCCCATTGGTGATGAGCAGTTGTGGAGAGAGTGGAGAGTTTCCCATACCTGGGCAGTGTGCTTATGACCGGCTCCAGTTTAACAGCAGAGGTCTCACTCCGAATCAGTCGAGCGGCATTATCTTTTCGTCGGCTGCGTAACGCTGTGTGGAAGCCACCTGGTCTGAAGCTCCACACGAAGTTTCAGGTCTTCTCGGCTACAATCATTCCCTCCCTTCTCTATGCCCGCGAAAAGTGCCCCCCCCCCCCCTAATGGAACATCTTCGCCAGTTATACACACTCAGGCTGGCCTGCTTACGATCTTCCCCTGTGTTTAACCAGGCTGGATTGCGTTAGGAGCTCACAAATTCTTGAAAGATCTGGACATGGTCTCATCGGTGAGCTCCTCCAGTAGGCAGGGTTGCATTGGCTGGGTCAT